CTGAGTGGGGAGGACTTGCAGAGGGAAGCTGCAGAAGATGTGCAATGATGTATTTCTCTACTTAGTAGTGTTAATATTCCACTTTCTAGGAAGACGTACCCATCAATTAAAATTATTTGGGACATTAAAAAAAGAAACTTGTGGTAGCTGCTATTCAAGACTAAGGACTAGGGCCAGAGAGACACCTGCCTCCAAGCAGTCCAGAGTCTGCTTGTTAAACTGTCATGATTTGGAGGCCCACATAGAAGGGGCACGTTCCTCTGAAGCGCCTTGGCTTGCCCTGTCTTTGGTGTACTGGCGTTGCCCTCTTCTGCTCGTCTGTGAGCAGTCAGAAAACCCTATCTCCTGTTTATTACCTCTCCTTGTCTTGCTGCTCAGAACAGCAGCTTTAAGAACAGGGTGGCTGAGGCCTAACTGTACCTTTGGAGCATCCTGTGTGTCTTCAGCATTGGTTGACTGTTTTTACTGTGTATTTAAATTCAGTTACTCTACTCCGGTCTTACTATTTCTGTTTGTCTGTGACTTCATTGAGGGCAGGGGCTGTGTCTCTTCAAACCATAGGGCTTCCCCAGATGCCTAGCCTGGTACAAGCATTCCATTGAGAATCAATACCATCATTTATTGCTGTCTGGTCTGTGCAGACTCCATGCTGGGTGCTGGGTAAGAGCCAAGGGCAGCTGGGTGCAGTGGCTCACGCCTGTAATCCCAGCACTTTGGGAGGCTGAGGTGAGTGGATCACCTGAGGTTGGGAGTTCCAGACCAGCCTGGCCAACACGGTGAAACCCTGCCTGTACTAAAACTACAAAAATTAGCTGGGCGTGGTGGTGGGTGCCTATAATCCCCGCTACTAGGAGGCTGAGGCAGGCGAATTCACTCGAATCTCACAGGTTGCAGTGAACCCAGATCACACCATTGCACTCCAGCCTGGGTGGCAACAGCAAAATTTCATCTCAAAAAAAAAGAGCCAAGGCCAGAGCTGGGCTCAATTTAGGGAAGAACTAATGCTTGGGCAGTAAGAGGCATCTACAGAGGGCCATCCTAGTTTCCTTGCCTTGCAAGATTTCCTCCTATGTCTTACTGCCTAACTGCAGAGAGACTCTCTTTAGGGATGGGATTGTAGGACAGGGCCCTTAGGGTCCTTCCCAGTGCAGACTATAATTCTGTGTGGGGACTATAATTTTATGACCTGTACATCAACATTAAAATAACAGTGTAGGAATGTTTCATGTGGTTTGTGGAACCTGTGGATTTGGTGTGGGCTTCTTGGTTAGAGTTTCATCTTGGCAAATCTCTTGTCTCAGAGTTGGTTTCCTGTTGTTCCCATCGGTAGATTACTAACTAGCTGCTAACAGGCAGCTTTGGGAAGAGCCAACAGATGGAGCCAGGCTGCTTGCCCACGCTGTTGGATTCAGAGCTCATCACTGTCCATGATACAGCTAGTTATCATTTAGGAGGAGTGAGCTTTCGGGCCTAGCAGGCAGAAATGGTTTAGGGAAAGCCGTTTTCCTGTGGCCAATGTGAGATTATTCATGTCTGTGGAAATAGAAGCTTCCTACAAGCTGGTCTTATGGGTTACATGCCTCTGTATTTCTATAACCTTCAGGCCAGGGTCTTTCACATCATTGGGCCTGGGAGAATAAGTGAGTGGTCAAGCATACACACACAAAAAGTAATTCGTGTGCCATCTGGTCACCCAGGGGTGCCAGCAGAGAGGAAGTCACAGGTAAGCAAAGCCTGATGTGTTTTCAGTGTGGCTACAGAAACATGATTTTTTGCATGGCTAAAATTACATCATTAAATTTTGAGGGCCATTTCCAACTCACAGTTTACCATGATTTCTTGGCTGATAAATCATAGGCGACCATCTCCTGCCATTCTCCCATGAGAACCCCACACTGCAAACTACCTGACATGTCTACTCTTGTCCTGGGGCTCAAAGCTTGTCAGGGATTAAGGAGAATGAAGCCTGAAAGTGCTCCAGGGAATCCTGTCTTCACTGCTGTCGCAGAGCCAGGTCCTGGGCACACAGGGCCACGTGCGTTCTGAGCCTGGGCCAGCCCAGCCAGCTCTTCTGGAAGCACTTTTCATTGTTTTTGGAGGCGGAGTTTTGCTCTTGTTGCCCAGGCTGGAGTGCAGTGGTGTGATCTCAGCTCACTGCAACCTCCGCCTTCTGGTGTCAAGCGATTCTCCTGCCTCAGCCTCCTCAGTAGCTGGGATTACAGGTGCCTGTCACCACCCGCAGTTCATTTTTTGTATTAGACTGGGTTTCACCGTGTTGGCCAGGCTGGTCTTGAACTCCTGACCTATAGCGATCCACCCACCTCAGCCTCCCAAAATGATGAGATTACAGGCGTGAGCCACTGTGCCCAGCTTCTGGAAGCACTTAAAAATTTTTTTATTTTTCTTGAGACAAGGTCTCACTCTGTTGCCCAGGCTGGAATGCAGTGACATGATCACAGCTCACTGCAGCCTTGACCTGCCAAGCTCAAGCAACTTCTGCCTCAGCTTCTCAAGGAGCTGGTACTATAGTGTGAGCCACCACGCTTGGCTAATTTTTGTAGTTTTTGTAGAGATGGGGGTCCCACCAGGTTGCCTGGGCTGGTCTCGAACCCTTGAGCTCAAGCAATCCACCCATCTCGGCCTCCCAAAAGTGCTGGGATTATAGGCGTGAGCCACCTCACCCAGCCTGGGAGCACTTTCTGTCCCCTCTATGGTTCGTCTTAAGAGAGGATCATCTTGTAAGCTTATTGGTGATCTTAATTTTTCTTGCTTTTATATTTTGCCTCAGTTTAAGTATAATCTGCCAGATGCAGAAAATATATTCGTCCTTCTCAAAAAATACTTAAAAATTCAAATACTAAAATATACAGAGAAAAGTAAATGAAGCCACTGTATATATCATCTGTCTCTAACTGTTAAAACCCTGAGGACCTTTAGTCATTCTTACTGCACACTCTCGCCCCAGCCCTGGATGTGCTGAACAGCAGAGAGTGGGACCTGGGAGAGGGCCTATTTCAGGCCAAAGGGGAAAGACTACTCCTGGTCATCGAAGGACTACTCTGGGTCTATGAGAGGACTAGTCCAGGTAGATGGGGGGACTCTTCCAGGTCAATGGGGAACCACTCCAGGTCAAGGGATGACTATTCCAGGTCCAGGGGCACTGTTACAGGTGAAGAAGGTAGATGGTGGGGTGGATTCAGTCAGCCCAAGTGAGAGGAAGCATTTTAGCAGATTACAGGGCTGTGAGCCTGGGTCACAGGTGTTTCACCTGTCGGGGTCACGAATGAAGAGCTTAGGCTGGGATGCTGTTCCAACTTTATTATCTTGTCTGTAGTCATGATGTGTAGGAGACAGTCTGATTATATGTATATATAAAGAGAGCAATGGAAGAAGAGATGAACTTTAACTTACTGTCAAGGTAAATCTAGTCATAAAGTTAACTGTTGGCGTATATTTTGCTTGTTCACAATATATCAGATACGTGCTCAGAGCTTTATGTAGATTATCGTATTGATTACCTATGGTACTTCTCTAAGGATCATTAGCCTGTTTTGCAGACAGTGAGCACTCAACTAACCAATTTGCTTAGTAAGTGCTGCCCAGAGCATGCCGGAGCAAAGGTCCTGCGTAGGACCTGAGGAACATCTGTATTTACTGGCAGAAGAAAGAGAGCTGGCAAAGGGTGCATGAGATGCAGGAAACCCAGGGGACAGAATGGCAGAGGCATGGTGACAGCATTTAGTGCATCAGTGTCTCGTTTTCTCAGGTTTATGTTCCTTTGGGTGACTGTAGATAGGGATTGTAGCATGATCTCTCAGCACAGTTAGGGATTGCTTCTTTCTGCCGCCCACCTCCACTGCCCCATTGTCAAAAGTGGTGATGAATTGCTTTCTTACAGAGTTATTTTGAAGGAAGTGTCAGGTCTTTTCCTGGGTTCTGTAGGTGAAGCTTTCTGTAATCCTCTCTCTCTTGCTCTCTCATTCATTCTCACTCTTCAAATTGACTTTGATTGTAGGATTAGTTTTCAGAGTCCTCATGAGATGCTGGATAGGGAGTGAGGTCATCAAAGTTAGGAGAGGGTCAGCTGCTAATCAGGGCTTCTCTCCCCCATTTTTTTTTTTTGAGACGGAGTCTTATTCTGTTGCACAGGCTGGAGTGCAGTGACATTTTGGCTCACTGCAGCCTCCGCCTCTGGGGTTCAAGCAATTCTCCTGCCTTGGCCTCCCAAGTAGCTGGGATTACAGACATGTGCCAGCACACCTGCTAATTTTTGTATTTTTAGTAGAGATGGGATTTTACCATGTTGGCCAGGCTGGTCTTGAACTCCTGACCTCAAGTGATGCACCTGCTTTAGCCTCCCAAAATGCTGGGATTACAGGCATGAGCCACAACACCCAGCCTGGTTTCTCTCTTGTTGATCTGCATTGGAGCTCAACATGCTCAGTGTCCCTACTTGGAGTTACGAGGTCCTCGTTGGGGAAGGAATTGCATAAAAAGCACGGGCCCCTTTAAGCCATTAAGAAATGTGCTTTTGTAGAATGTGCTCAACTTTGACTGTTGAGATGCTTAACTTGTTGATGCCAGCACTGGCCACATCTTCCATCTGTCTCCCGGAGTTCTCAGAAATGAAGTGTCCCAGCTAAGCTGGAAAGAGTGATGTTATGTTTTGTCTTCTGTGGGGAATCTCACCCTTCCTGTCATTGTTTTGCCAGATAACGTTACCTGCCTTCAGTGTGTTGTAGGAACAGATGAAGAACGAAGTCCTTCCATGCCAGAGGCTGCATGGCAGCCCAGCCCCACCCTGCTGGCCTGTGTGCTGGCTGGCTATAGCCCCTCAGCCTTGTGTGCTGTTGGTACGATTCTCACCAGTCTTGCAGTCAGTGATCCCTGTTACATGGGGATGATGGTAGTGATTTTGGCTACTTCTGTTTGTTAACCTTAGGTACAACACAAAGCGTTTGTAAATAATGAACTCCAATCATTGCCATTTCTGCCTGCAGCCTGGAATTGTGTCGCCATTTAAACGAGTATTCCTAAAAGGTGAAAAGAGTAGAGATAAGAAAGCCCATGAGAAGGTGACAGAGAGGCGCCCTCTGCACACTGTGGTGTTGTCATTGCCTGAGCGCGTCGAGCCAGACAGACTGCTGAGCGACTATATTGAGAAGGAGGTAAAGGTAAGTCGTCATGGGCCACAGGATGTGCCTGCCAAGCAACAGTGACGGTCGTGCCTGTATCCACCAGACACTCGAGCTTATAAGACACAGCCACACAAATACCTTAGTTGATTACCCATCCCATTCTTGTCTATGGTGATAAATTTAATAATTGGATAACCAGAAACTCAGACTCCTGTCTGCTGTCCCCAGTTTGTTTTTTTCTCTTCTTTTTATTTTTTTAGATGGAGTTTCACTCTTGTTGCTCAGGCTGGAGTACAGTGGCACGATCTTGGCTCACTGCACCCTCCGCCTCCCGGGTTCAAGCAGTTCTCCTGCCTAAACCTCCTGAGTAGCTGGGATTACGGACATGCATCATAACACCTGGCTAATTTTCTATTTTTAGTAGAGACAGAGTCTCTCCATGTTGGTCAGGCTGGTCTCGAACTCCGGACCTCAGGGGATCCATCCGCCTTGGCCTCCCAAAGTGCTGGGATTACAGGCATGAGCCGCCGTGCCCAGCCTGTTTTTTTCTTTAGTAGCAATGCCACCTTCTTTCTCTTGAAGGCTTGGCTATGTGAGTAGTGTGTGCTGCTCCACCAGAAGAGGGTTAAAGAGCTGGGAGAAAACTCACATCTCCTACAATTTGCAGTTGAAAAGAGTTACTTGGTCAAGACCATGACTCTGCCGGTCTTTGACCGTGTAGATTTCAGACCATGTGTTTGAGGCTCATCATTGGGTCTCAAGGGCCTGAGCCCAAAGTACTGTACATAAACCATGCGATGTGCATAAGTTGATTTTTAATCCCTCCCCTAAAATGAAAGTAAATGAATAAAAAGGTATAAAGCCACTGGGCGTGGTGGCTCGCGCCTGTAATCCCAGCACTTTGGGAGTCTTCGGTGGGTGGATCACCTGAGGTCGGGAGTTCAAGACCAGCCTGACCAACATGAAGAAGCCCCGTCTCTACTGAAAATACAAAACTAGCCAGGTGTGGTGGCACGTGCCTGTAATCCCAGCTACTCAGGAGGCTGAGACAGGAGAATCACTTGAACCCAGGAGGCAGAGGTTGCAGTGAGCCAAGATCATACCATTGCACTCCAGCCTGGGCAACAAGAGTAAAACTCCATCTCAAGGGAAAAAAAAAAGGAAAGGAGGCAGCAGTGGATGAGTTGTCCATAAACATGGAAGAAGGAAACCACTGAGGGTGAGATAACTGAGTTAGAGCTAACACAGCCAGACCCGAGTTCCTGTGGAGGACACAGAGTCCAGGGGGCTCATGCACATGGGGCAGTTCGAATGTCCATGGGAGGGATTTCCACTCTCACCTGGCCCAGCCACATGATTAGCTCACCCCGACCCCACTGGGAGATGGGGCTTTGAACGTGCAAAAACCAATACGGGGCAGATGGGAGAGACCAAGACAAAAGATAAGGAAGTCCAATCAAAGCCTGTATGTGGAATGGAGAGAACTTCCAACTCCTTTTTCAGTCAAGCTTCTAGAATGCCTGCAGCCAGGCCTTTCCCACAATGGAATTCTTGGAAGGGTGCTCACTGGGGAAGTTGAGCAGTCCATACTGGCCCTGGGGGTTACCACCCAGCCAGCCTGAATAAACTCCAACAGTCAGGACTCCTTCAGGCATCCAGCATCTGTCAGCTTTTCAGAGCCTCATTTCAAATATAGGCGGCTAAGTACACATTTGAGGAAAACTTTCAGCTAAAGGCAGAGCTCAAGACAAAAACAGAAAATAGACATGAATGAAACAGCAGCAATGCAAAAAATGGGAAGAAATTTAAAAGTATATGCTGTTTTTCAGAAAGATAGGAAATGTTGGCAGTGACAACAGGATTCTACTTTTAAATAAAAGGTGAGAAGAAGAGCTTCTGGAATTCAAACTATGTTAATTATATATCTTTAAAAAATTCAGCCAGGGCACAGTGGCTCAATAATCCCAGCACTTTGGGCGGCCAAGGTGGGCGGATCACAAGGTCAGGCAATTGAGACCATCCTGGCCAACATGGCAAAACCCTGTCTCTACTAAAAATACAAAAACTAGCCGGGTGTGATAGCCTGCACCTGTAGTCCCAGCTGCTTAGGAGGCTGAGGCAGAGAATAGCTTGAACCTGGGAGGTGGAGGTTGCAGTGAGCCAAGATGGTGGCACTGCACTCCAGCCTGGGCAACAGAGCAAGACTCCATCTCAAAAAAAAAAAAACAGAGGTATTGAAAGATAAAAGTGAAAAAAAAGTCCCAGAAAGAATATTCAAAAGACAAAGAAAGTTAATAAACAAAAGATGAGAAAGAGAAATTAAAGGAAATTAGGTGATCAATCCAGGAAGTTCAGTATCTGACTCCCAAGAAAAAAGAATGAAAGGAAGAGTGAGAAGAATTTATTAAGACAGTAAAAGAAGAACATTTTGCAGAATTGACTGATGAACATGACTCCCTCCATTGAAAGTTTACTGTCATGTTGACTAGATAGATCTCTAAAACCTCAACTCACAGAAGCCTATTCTTAGAAGTTACTGGTAGATCTGCTGCATCAAAACACAAGGGGAGGCTGGGCATGGTGGCTTATGCCTATAATCCCAGCACTTTGGGAGGCTGAGGTAGGCAGATCAGATGAGAGCAGGAGTTTGAGACCAGCCTGGCCAACATGGCAAAACCCCTTCTCTACTAAGAATGCCAAAAAGGTTATCAAGGAGTGGTGGCACATGCCTGTAATCCCATTTATTTGGGAGGCTGAGGCATGAGAATCGCTTGAACCCGGGAGGTAGAGGTGCAGTGAGCGGAGATTGCACCACTGCACTCCAGCCTGGGCGACAGAGTTAGACACTGTTGCCAAAAACAAAACAAAACAAAGCACAAGGACAAGCCAAGAGTAGGAAAACACCGGTTTAGAGCCCAAGGAGTCACAGAGAAGAGAACAAAGATAATTTCCAGGATGACAGGAAAGCAAAGTCCCAGGAAAATAATCTAAGAAACAGGCTACAGAAGCTCTGGGATAAGTAAGTGTAGACTATATGTTTGGGTGGAAGACTGTATTGAGAAGTTGCTGAAGAAATAGAATAGTACATAGGAAACAAAGCAAATGGAGGTGTGGGGGAATTAATAATAAATCATTTAAAATGAAAACTTAAGGGTTGGAGACTTCTGTTCCTGGGAAGTTGGAGTAGACATTCTTTTCCCTATTACTTCTAGTTAAGTACACCTGAAATCTGAAATCCTTGGACACTATATATAACAACATAAGAACACTCTGAAAGGTAGAGAGAAGGCAGGCCACCCAGGACCCAGAAAACAACCCAGTAGTGATTTCTTCGGGTTGTCTTTTTGCCTCATGTAGTCCAGACTATGAGCTGAAGAAGCTGGCAACCCAGAAACACCAACAGGTACAGGCAGAACCCTCCAAAAAGCCTGTTGCTTCTGACTAAAGGACCAGGAAAGGGGCAGCCTAGTACAAGACAGAAAATATTTAGACAATTGCTCAGTCCATCCAAACATAGCAGAGCTGTGGTACCACCTCTGTTCTTGCTACCAAAGGCTGAGTGAGGGCCTCTTATTCCTCCAGAGAAAGTTGAGTAGGGACCATGGACTTTTATCCATGCTGGGCAGTAACCCCTAAGAAACCTTGTGTGGTTTTGGAGTATTAGTGGAGACCACAGTGGGTAGGCAGTAATGAGGCCCTCCTCTTCCTCCCAACCAGGGAAGTATCAGTGGAAGCCACATGGAGAAGCAGAACTCTCATCATACTCAGCAGTAAAAAAGAAGGAGCCCTTCATGCAGGAGGCCAAGTAGAGAATCTGACCTTCACCCCTGCTTGGTGGTAAAACGGTGGTGTTCCTCTCCCTTCTGAAGAACTAGGTTAAATTTTCCATCATTTTTATTGCTGAGGTCCTGAAGAGAGAGGAGAAAGAGGGAAGGGCTGAAAAGCTTTTCAAAGATCTTCTGGGTTGAAACATTTGGCAAAGGACAAACTTAAAAGATTCAGAAAGCTGAGCAAACGCCAAACGAGAAATAAATCCACTGCTAAGACCCGTCATAGTAGAATTCTGAAAAGTAAAGACAACAACAGCAAAAAATTTTGAAAGTGGCAAGAAAGACACACTTTATTCATAGGGGAAAACAGAATGACAGCAGATTTCTTGTTACTAATAGTGAGGACCAGTGGCACAACATTCAAGTGCGGAGAGACTCTGAGAATCAAAAGGGTAACAAGAGAATACAAGCAACTCCATACACACAAACAGTGGGCCAAAAAATAGACCAGATTCTTGAAAAGCATAAACTTCCACAGTCATCCGATATGAAATAGATCATTTGAATAACCCTATAATTTTTAAAGGAAATGTAGTATTTAATTTGAAAACTCCCATTAAAAAGCTCTTCAGGCCCAAATGGTTTTACTGGAGAATTCTGTCAAACATTTAAAAAATTTAATCTCAATTCTACATATTCTTCCAGAAAAACAGAAAGGGAATAAACACTTTTTCTTTCCCTCCCTCCCTCCCTCCCTCCCTCCCTCCCTCCCTTCCTTCCTTCCTTCCCCATTTTTTTTTTTTTTGAGGTAGGGTGTTACTCCGTTGTCCAGGTTAGAGTGCATTGGCGTTATCTTTGCTCACTGAGCCTTGATCTTCCAAGTTCAAGCATCGATCTCTTCTTACCTGAGCTTCCAAGTTCGATATTCCTCTTCCCTGAGCCTCCTGAGTAGATGGTACTACACATGCCTGCCACCATGCCCAGCTAATTTTATATTTTGTAGAGACGCAGTCTCACTATGTTGACCAGGCTGTCTTGAACTCCTAGTCTCAAGCAGCCCTCCCGCCTCAGCCTCCCAAAGTCATGGGATTCTAGTCATGAACCACTTTGCTTGGGTGGGAATATTTTCTCACTCTTTTTGCAAGGGCAGTATTGCCCTAATATCAAAAACAGACAAAAAACAGTGCAAAATAAAAAGAAGTCACAGGCACCAATACAAACATAAAATTCCTCAGAAAAATATTAGGTAACGTATTCAGCAATATA